TTGAGAAATTTGAGCTTGATTCAGGATACATTATGGGAGACCTTGGAAGAATTTAGGTAGAGATCACAGATTTTATAGGAGATAATTCAAGCGAAGTTGATAAACATCTGGTGATTGAGTCTTAGATTGGTCTCTGATTTGGGAGGGCAGGATCCCAGGCTGGAGAAACCTTTTGAAGAGGAAGAAATAAAGAAACAATTTTAAGATGGATAAGGAAAATGTACCTAGGCTCGGTTCTTACAGTATGACATTTTTCTCATAAGCATCAGGAAATAGTGAAGTTCATGTGTTAATCTTCTATATAAGGATAAATATTTCTTGTGGTTGAAGTTCATGTGTTATAAATTTACACAAGTTTCAATATGCTAATTGGATTGAAACTAAAGAACATATAACTAATTGTTGTTTTCCTTGGCATCTTTTTGTGATCATATTTAGGTAGTAGTTGAGATGTAAAATTGGAAACCATAAAATTAATTAAGGGAAGGCCACTGTGATGTTACTAATTTTCCAACTTAAAATGATGCTCAACAGAACATTTTTATTACTGTATCTGTTGTATTGCAGTTGGAGATGGCATATGAATGTTTAAAGCAAGCAAATGACTTGAGCGGTTCACTGCTACTGTATTCTTCTCTGGGAGATGCCGATGNGAGATGGCAGAGGAATGTTTAAAGCAAGCAAATGACTTGTGCGGGTTACTGCTACTATATTCTTCTCAGGGAGATGCCGATGGGATAACTCAACTTGCATCTCTTGCCAAAGAGCATGGGAAGAACAATGTTGCTTTCCTCTGTCTATTTATGTTGGGTAAATTGGAGGACTGCCTTCAGCTGTTGGTTGATAGGTAATTCTTGCTGTCACTTTATCTGTCCGGTTTACCTGTTTAACTCTGATGATTTCTGAATTAAAATTTTTTGTACAGCAATCAGATACCTGAAGCTGCATTGATGGCTCGCTCTTATCTTCCTAGTCAAGTGTCAGAAATCGTGGCTCATTGGAGAAAGGACCTCAATAAGGTTATAGTCCAATTATGATCTTGAACTTGTTTGGAACTGTTATATCATAAGGGTAGTGATCAATTGTTGTGAAATACAGGTATGTCCGTGCAGATCTGGGATGATGTTTCTGGGAAAAGCATTACTACTTCCGCATCGCAACTGGAAGATCTTATTGATAGAGCTCTTGAGCTTGGATCTGCTACTGCATCTGCAAAAAATTATGGTCGGAAATATATTGTATACGGCAAGAACTTTAGATAGATTGTGCTGTAACTAGTTTATTATAGTTTCGCTCTTTAATCTTTTACTCCTTTTTAAATAAGTTGTGCTGTAACACATTCTAATGTTGTATTGATTCAAAAAATTATAATGAAATTATCAATATTTATACAATTCCAAAATGTGTTCACAAGGTGTTATTTTTAATTTTATGGGTCAATTACTCAATTACGATAACTGTAAAAAAAAAAGAAGTCTACCGCAACGTTTAAAAGACGTTGCAAAAGAGTTTTTCGCAATGGTGAATAAACGCTGTAAAAAGTCTTCCCTCAACGCCAACACCGACCTCCACAACACTCAGAAAAATGTTGCGAAAACTCTTTTACAGCCTTTTTTGGCCACTGCAAAATCCCTTTTTTGGTGTAGTAAGTATCTTATCACATTGAGTTTGATGAGTCCCTCTTTACATATAAAGTCCCCCGTCCATCACCCACACACTCTTGTTATTCCTGTGATTCTTCTATCTAATGTCAATTTATAAAATTCTAGTTCTACTCTTTCTATATGTGATAATTTCAAATTATCTCAAACTTTCCAATGGATATGGCCTTACGAAAGATCCCTCAATATGAGGATATTCAAGATTTTTCAACCTTCTTACATTCAAATGACCACTTCAAAGATATAATGTTATTAAAAATGACTATTGTGCTCAAATAATGCAAATATTTAAAGTAGAATGAATAAAAAGTTAAGAACTTGGGTTGCCTCTTAATAGGCGCTTAGTGTAAAGTCTTTAGCTAGCTTTGAGAAAGGATTGATGGTGGTGTTTTAAAACGGACTTCACGGGTTTTGCATTGGACATAAAGTTCATTATTGCTAGCTCCCTCAATTCTCCAAATTTGCAAACCACATTTTAAATCTTTACGATTTTTCAATAATTGTACCTATTCCTTTCTTGTTTTGGCACTTTTCATGATTCTTCAAGTATTCATTTTCAACCTTTTGGCTTTCCTCAACAAGAGATGATCTTTTGACCGTGGCGTACACATGGAATTTCTCTTGGTCATCGTCTACCCTCAAGAAAAACTTACTCACATAAAATCCATTACAACTCGACTCGTTGATACGAACGATCACCCCAAAATTAGTGGTACAACCCGGTATTCTTTTATGTCCAAGACAATAAAGTCCGCCGAAAATAGGACATACCAACTTTAGTGATCACATTCTCAATCATGCCTTGAGGATACTTGATAGATCTCTCTTCCAATTGAAGAGAGATTGTTATGTCTTTATGTCATTCCAAACCTAATTTCCTGTAGATAGAAAAATACATTAAATTAATACTTGCCAAATAATCACATAAAGCATGAAATATAATACTATTTTTGTGTTGAACATAATTTGAGATTGCACTCGTCACTCAACGTAGTCTCAAACTCATTCAATCTTCTTTTCTTTGATAACATATCCTTAAATAAGTTTGCATAGCTTCGAATTTGAGATATGTCTTTACATAATGGGATATTGGCGAAGCTTTTTGAATACATCCAAAAATTAAGTATACTATTTTTTGGGCTTTGAGGAAATGGGATATGAGACATGTTTTGACTCCTTGTCAGTGGTAGGTAATATCTATACCCTTACCAGATTGTTTATAATTTCCTAAAGCCGAAACTCACTTTATGTAGTGATTGCTTGAACCATTTTCTCTTTCAGCTTTTAAGGGAATGGAATAGGAGGTATCTATATCTTTACCGGATTGGTTGCCTCTAAAGGTGGATCCTCTATGATTCTTGTTAGGCTTTTGATGTAATTAACAAATCTATGAACAAAAGGGACTAGATTTAATGTGTTGTAAAAGTTAAAGAGTAAGTTTCTAATATAATAAATTGAGTTGTATTAGGCGTAGGGTTTGAGAATGAAAAAAAGGAAAAAAAAACGACGATGCAAGTTTGCTAGACTGTCGACATGACTTTGCTTGAGCGGCAGAAATAGAAACATTGTCGCTAACCTGTCGCCTGGCCTTCACTCGAGCGATACATCGTCGCTTCCCTGTAGCCTAGCTTTTGCTCGAGCGACAGGGTTATCCGGAGAATTTTAATTTGCGTTTTTAAGGCTTTTTATCCAACCCATTCATTTCAAAATAGTTGGTGTCGCAATATGTGGGTTGTTTTCGTCCCCAAATATAGAACACACTAAATATGTTTGATCCTATGACAGTTTCTGAGGCACATCAAAGGGCGATGCAAATAGAGAAACAACAATCCTGATGAAATATAGGTCCTTTGACTATAGGGCGTTGTTCTAGAACAAATCTCATTGAATAGTAAACACATTCTATAGGTTGTACTCATTGTTTTACTTGCAAATGTATGGGTCATAGAAAGTCTGAATGTCCCAAAAATTCGCGTAGAGTACTTTTCATTTATAAGGGTTACGGAGACTTTGAAGGGGCACCTATCTTTGATAATGGAGGTGCTGAAGAAGCAACAAACGATGAAGAATTTGTTGTTGGTGATATAGGTCAAGCATTGGTGGTGAGACGGAGTTTTCTGACTCCATTGGAGAGTAAGAATGATTGGTTCTGTAATAATATTTTCCAGTCTACGTGTATTGTCAGGGGAAGAATCTGGGAGTGGCGAAAATGTAGTCGCTAAGGAGATCATTAAGAAATTGGGTTAGTAGATTGAGAAACATCCCAAACCGTATAGTTAGCCTGTTGAAGAGAGGGAACGCTATTGAAGTATCCCAGCATTCTTTAATTAGTTTCTACATTAGACCTTCCTATAAAGATTAGGTTGTGTGTGATGTGGTGGAGATGGATGCATGTCATTTGTTATTAGGAAAACCTTGGTAGTTTGATTGACATTCGTTGCATGATGGATATACCAACATGTATAGTTTTCTGTTTGGGGAAAAAAATTGTCTTCCTAGATGACAAGAGTTCAAGAAAAATAGTTGGGGACATACCAATTTATTAGCCAAAACAAAGTTAGAGATAGAGAAGGTAGAATCTGGTGTAGTATATATGTTAGTAGGCAAGTCAGTCGATATTGAGCGGGAGGTCCCTCATAGAATTCATCCACTTCCAGAAGAATTTCAGGAGGTCTTCTAGAAGAACTTCCATATGGGTTAATACCACTGCGAGATATTGAGTATCAGATTGATTTAGTGCCAATGCTACTATTCATAATCAGGCTCATTACGAGATGGATCCTACTGAGCATGAGGAGCTACTAGATAAGTGGAGTAGCTTTTGGCGAAAGGTTACATCAGGGAAAGTCTTAGTCCTTGTGATGTTCCTGCTCTCCTTACGCTAAAGAAAGATGGCACGTAGCATATGTGCGTGGACGATAAAGCGATCAATAAGATTACAGTATTTCACTATTTTCTGACCCCTCACTTGGATGGTTTGTTGGATTGGCTTACTGGTGCTTGCATGTTCAGTGAGCTTTATTTGAAGAGTGGGTACCATTAGATTTGAATCAGGCATGGGGATGAGTGGAAGATAGGTTTTAAGACAAAAGTAGGGTTGTACGAGTGGCTCGTTATGCCATTTGAACTTTCCAATGTGGGTTATGAATCATGTTCTTCGTCCATTGATCGGTAAATTAGTTGTAGTTTACTTTGATGATATCTTGATTTATAGTGCTAACACTGATGATCATGTCCAGCACTTTCGGGAAGTACTTTCAGTCCTTCATAGGGATAAATTTTATGCTGAGTCAAGAAGTGTACCTTTCTAACCGACCGAGTTATATTTATGGGTTATGTGGTCTCATTTTTGGGATATGTGGTGTCAAGAGAGAGATTAGCAGTTGATGCCTCCAAGATAGACATAATAAGTCAATGGACACAGCTTAAGACTATTACAGAAGTGCGAAATTTCATTGCCTTTCCTTCTTTTACCACTGGTTTGGACCACATTTCAATGCTACCGTGGCACCAATTATAGATCGTATGAAGGATGGCAAGTTTCAGCGGAATCCTTAGGTAGAGACATCTCTTCAGTTAATTAAGCACAAATTAACAATCGTCCCAGTTTTGGTGTTGCCTGA